GAGGGCTCTCGTAACCAACGGAGTTCTGCACCCCTAGGCGAGCCTATCACCCCGCAAGCGTAATCCATGACCAACAATGTCCTGTGAATTCATTCTTGAACGTTGGTGGGCGGATATAGAAACTGTGATATGTCGGATCACTTCTGACCATGGCTACTATAGCCGTTCCGATCAAGGTACTTGTGACCTTACCGAGTATGTTGTGGAAAACTGCTGCTGCTCAAGATCTTTGCTGGGACATCTTGCTGAACCCGTCGCAGCAGTCACCGCAGGTGCTAAGAACAGAAGCAAACACGAAGCAAATTGTGTTCCTCCCACTGGATGGTGCCAAGTGTTGTCAGTTCTTCCATGGATAGCCACAATACGAGCATTTGCAGATTTCAAGTTCTGCACATTTCAGTATTCGCTTTGCTGTTTTCGAGTATCGTTACTTGGAGAGCCCAATACCCCTGAATTAAGGAATATAGCTTAAATTATAATATGAAGCCCTATATAGTTTAAGCCGTACTCCTTAATTCAGGGGTGTTGGACTCTCTGGGTACGACTTGCCAGACCAAGAGGACAAACTTCGCCCTACTTCAAAGTTGCAAGGTCCTGCACCCTAACTCTGAGATCCCACCGCACTCCGTAGTCCCTCAAAACTTAAGCCTTAGCCTTAGACTCACACCTTCCCGAAAACCCCGAGACAAAACCGCAAGAAGACTTAAGCCGCCAAACTCCGAAGCTGCGGTACTTAAAGGACCATGGGACTTAATAACTAGGGTTATAATTAGGGTAACTCTACTTATAGCTACGTACTTATAACCCCAATTAAGGTACTTGTCACCTTACGTACTACGTCCCATGCTCCTCCCAAGTAGATCCTAAACTCCAAACCCTATACAGCCGTTTAAGGAACTCTATAGATCCCTTTAAGGAGCCCTTTAAGGAACCTTACTAAGTCCCATGATCCTCCAAGTAGAACCTAAACCCTAGACCCCATAGATGCCTTTTAAGGAATTTATATAGATCCCTTTAAGGAGCCCTTTTAAGGAACCTTACTAAGTCCCATGATCCTTTAAGTCGAGGACTACTTCATCTCGGACGGCTTCCTCTTCTTCAACCAGCCGACTGATGCCTCGGGTTGCTGCACTGCCGAGGCCTGTGTCATATGAAGGGACTCGAGATATTGGTTTGTTAGATTCCGGCTAAGTCTATCCATAATATGTAATCTATAGCATAGAATAGATAGTATGAAACATATGCAACAAAACAGCTTCAGGATTTGGACCCTGATCCCGAAGCGCTGGCTCTGGTATCTGGGTTGCTTGCTGTCGGTTTTGGTTACAGTTGGTCTAGAGGTAAACTCCTGCCGGCTTCGGGCCGGTGTCCTATCACTTACCTTTGGTTAGTAGGGAATGGAAGAATGGTAGTAATATTACTTATTGTACCCAATCCATTCTTCCATTCCCGACTAACCAAAGATAAGATCAGCTTGTGCTTTAGGTGCTGGGGTTTGGGGCTCAGGATTTGTGCGTCGTGTTCGTTTTGGGATCGCTCTAGTATCAGAGTATCACTCGCACTTTATGCTCATAATGACAGTAGTAGCAATAATCAGAAACATTATCAACTAACAACAATAAAATACCAATAAATTGCAATAATAGTAACAGTACTAGTACTAGTACTTGTGATAATAACAGCAATAGTACTTCTGATTGGAATCGTCATAGTACCAGTAAATGTAGTAGCTGTAGTAATAGTTCTCTTACTCGTAACAGTATTACTAGTAGTGGTAATAGCAACCGTAGTAGCAATAGTAATAGTGGTAGTAATGGAAATAGAATTGGCTCGTGTTAGCAGCGCTAGAATCGACACAACTATTGTCTTTACCGCCCCAGTTTTTGTCAGGCCGTTTCCTTCCGGATGTGTTTGGCATTCGTGTGGTTGTTACTGTCGCCACTACCGTCCTTGCTGCTGCAGCTGCGGCCGTTATTATGATCACCAGTAAGTTCCCCTAAACATTAAACCCTAAACCCCTAAACAAGACAACCAGCCGCCCTGGCAGGTCGCAGGAGTCGAGATCGTACCCACATCGGCCCTCGACAAGGAGCCTCGAATTGCTTGGCTTCGCGGGATGGGCGGTTCAGCTTTGTGGACAGGAAGCCCGATTTAGGGCTGCTGGTTTTGACTATACTAATTGATATACTTGTTGTGATGGAGATGTGGTTAATTATCGTTGTTGTCTTGGTCTTCCATACGGTCGCCTGTGTTCTGACAACTTTGAGTAGCAGCAGGAAAGCAAAGGCAGCAGCAGTGTTGCTGGCGGTGGTTTCTTGTTGTTTGTACTTTGTACGGCTCCGGGGCTGTGACGGCATGCCCCATCTTCGCCAAAGCTGCTTGAACCTGCTCCTCCCTTGTCATCGACCCCAGACCAGAAAACCAAAAGCTTTCTTTCCCTCCCCCTTAACTGTTGAGCGTAAATCAGTTTGTTCAGACCCTAAGCCCTGCACTTCAAGCCCGAAAGCATCCAAACCTGGAGGAACAGACCCTCAATCCGAAGCCCTAAACCTGAAACTGACGCCCGGAAACTTTCACAAGGACCGGGCGGCGCAAGTCCTCTCCGAGCTCATGGCATCCCCGAAGGAGTCGTCTCGGGGTCCCTGAAATCCAGGGCTTGCTCCTGAAAAACGATGCCGAAGATCGAGAACAGCAGTGTAACAGAGAGCTGTTGCAGTAGCCAAAACCATGAGCCACCAGCAACAAATAGTAACACGAGATGAATACGCTGACGACGGTGATGACGATTATCATGATTATCATCATGATCATGGTGATCCTCAGGAAGCTGACGCTCATGCTAACGATCATGATGAAGTTGACGATGATCCTGATGATGGTGATGAACAAGATAGTGTTGTTGGCGAGATGGTGATGATGCTGATGATGGTGATGATGATGCAGACTATTATGATGCTAGGAGTGGGTGGTAATGCGAATTCCGACATGAGCCGCCGAAGCCATCATCGCAATATAAAATGACTGAGCATGTTTGTGTCTCAGGCATAGGCTTGGAGTCTTGATTGAGTGAGCTGACACTTTATCGGGTCTGTGTCGCGGCGAGGCTTGGTCTTTCAGGTTTGTGACGGTTTAGGGTTTAGGGTTTAGGGTTAAGCGGCAGGATTTGATCTGGGGCTGACGGGTTGAGCAGTGTGGGGCGGCTAGACGGGTAGTAAAACTGCCACACTGCGGTCCGCACACAGTCACAGCTAAACACGACAAGGCTTCACCAACACTACACCGTCGCATGTAGCTCCACAAACCGTTATACCCTTAGTAGAACGTTTAGGGTTTTTTAAGAGTTCTTTGCCTAACATCAATCTTGGAGTTGTGGAGACGCAGGACACGGAGTGGGACAGAACAAAGGCCCAGCTGGGTGCGGCTTTGGTGAATCAAGTCATCAAGGCACGGATATCCCGGGACTGTTGCAGGATGGACTATATGGGGCCTGAGTAATTGCCAATGCTGTTCCTTAGGGGTCGTCATCTAACTCTGCTATAATTTACTCAGCACCCCAGTCTAATCATTCTCTCGAAGCACATGAACACCTATTGTGCGGGCTGCGTCGACACGACTGAGAGTTTCCAAAACACTGGTCTGAGACCAACAGCTTCGCAGGCCTTCCCCTGAGGAGTTGTTTAACTTAAGAGTGCCGTACGCTGATAAGATGGATCCGACGAGCTAATTCGGACCTATATAGGCAATATTTAGATGGAAATCTAAACCCTGAACCCTCCCTACAAAGGGCCCCTGATTCTCAGCTCCCACATCGCTGCACTCTACGCCTAGCCATAGCCTAGCCTCGAAGCTTCAGGTGAAACATGAAGCGAGGGTTTTGTAAGGCCGGTTTGGGGTTGAGGGTTTAGGGTTTGGGGGTACAAGGTTTTCACAAAATTTACAGCTCTCTGTGAGTAGGTATTTGGCTTGAACATACATGGCTTGCAGACTGGTACTACCTGGTTCGGGATTCGGGATTCGATTTGCATGCCTTACTGACACTGCATAGAAAGCCCGATGCCCTTCGGGGGACTCTCTCTCTCTCTCTCTCTTTCTCTCTCTGTCTCTCTCTCTCTCTCTCTCTCTCTCTCTCTCTCTCTCTCTCTCTCTCTCTCTCTCTCTCTTCATCTATCGATGTAGCTTTATCTGTATCCGCACATAGATAGATAGATCGATAGACATAGTTAGCTGTATACACTTTTCACTTTTCTGCACATGCATGCATTCCTACATGCATGCATGCATGCATGCATACCTACATATGTACATCATACCTACCTACCTACCTACATACATATGCCAGGCTGCGGAATGAGAAGTGAGAATGTCACAGAAAGTGTGATCTACAGCTGAGTCCCCACGGCTCACTGTGCAGAATCATTTTGTCCGGCGTACTCTGAAGTGAAACATTGGGCAGGCGCAGACTAGCGCGTCGAAGCGGATTTCAGCTTGCGGCGGCCATGCACCCCGAAACCCTATGTCCACTGCAGTAGTCAATGGTTCACTGGGCCTCAGATGCTAAGCCCTCTATCTGCATAGCACCTCCTGGTCCCTGTTGGGGAATTACTTAGCCAGCTCTTTGGTTTTGAATGTGCACAACTTGGACGTATAGCTTTCTCACTCCTACGGGAGCCCAGAAGCCATGCTGGGTATCGAAAAAGGCCGTGCAGCAGTGGCAATGGCAAGAGGTAGGCTAGCTTCTAAGCTTTGACAAGACAAGACTTCTTGATTCTTCACTGCTTGGTTTCAAAATGTCTTCGACTGCTGTGCAGCGTCATGTTTGCTGGATTCGCTTCACCAGACATGAATTAGACATCATCGCCCTAGAGAGCAAGACCTCACGAATTCGCGGTTGTCCTGTCAATGCCAGAACTTGATGACTGCCACCTGCCAGCCTAAACCGAAGCATGAAATGGAATCAACACACCTAGGACCGAGGGCACAGCCTAGACAAACTCGCTGCCATGTCGCTGCGAATGCTCCAGAAGCAGGCTCGCGCTGTGTGGTTTGAGTGGAGCCTCCAATACAGGGGCTTGTAGAGTTTCCACTATTTTCCCTAGGGAGCCCATGTAAAACTCTACTATGTTATATCCCCGAACCTTCGGTTCAGTTTGGTCATTTTGAAATATATTGAACTTGCCAGAGGAGCCTGTTGCCAGCTATCAGGGTTGTTGCCTTGTGTTGATCTTGGATTGATAGATACTGTTAGGGGCCTCAATAATGAGAATAGGGTTTCGGGGTATATTAGGCTGTAGTGATTATAGGAAGGAACGAACCAAGAAAGTATGGTGATTTGTGGTGCTGGTGGTGGTTCCGGGTGAAACTTACAACTCCGAGCCTAAACAAGCCAGATATGTTCGAAACTCTGAGGAGAACGCCGCGATCGAGAAGAATTATGTAACGAGGAGCCCCGAGAACCTTAAGCTTTATAGCTCTATCCAAACCGTAAACCCGCACCTACCAGAAACCTCCCCAACCTTCCTCCTTCCCTTGCTTCCCCTCTCCTCTCTCTCTCTCTCTCTCTTTCTCTCTCTCTCTCTCTCTCTCTCTCCCTCCCTCCTTCCCTTGACACCAAGTCCAGCAGCAAGCACATTAGCCCCCAAGATCCGGCCTCAACCCCCAACCTCAAACCTTCGACCCTAAAACCGCATCCTTGAACCCAACCCCGAAACCGGCCTCCTACCGGAAGTCCCAAACACCGAAGTTGTCAATCCGAATGACACTCCAAAGCCTCCACACTCCTCAGAGCCCTTCCAGAACCCTTGCGCTCCTCTCTGCTATTGAAGTCTTGCAAAAAGGCACTACAGTAGGACCGAAACCCCAAACCTGAGGCCACCCTAAACCCTGCGACTACCCTAAACCCTAAACCCTGAACCCTACATCCTAAACCCTAAATAAACCCTAAACCCAGCCCATGATACAGCAGGTGGGCGCCGGCCCTTCAGAGGTCTCGGCCGAGGCGAAAGCGGCGCTGCAACCAGGCCTGGCAAATCCAGCTCTTCGGTGACTGTTCATCCTCGGGGGTTTAGGGTTTTAGGTTTAGGGTTTTAGGTTTGGGGATTTAGGTTTAGGGTTTTAGGTTTAGGGTTTTAGGTTTAGGGTTTTAGGTTTGGGGATTTAGGTTTAGGGTTTTAGGTTTAGGGTTTTAGGTTTAGGGTTTTAGGTTTAGGGTTTTAGGTTTAGGGTTTCAGGTTTAGGGATTTAGGTTTAGGGTTTTAGGTTTAGGGATTTAGGTTTAGGGTTTTAGGTTTAGGGTTTTAGGTTTAGGGTTTTAGGTTTAGGGTTTTAGGTTTAGGGTTTAGGGTTTAGTCTTTAGGGTTGAGGGTTTTGTCCTTGCCGCGTGGTGGCCCGACTTGACCAGAGTCTAACACCAGCCCTAAAGCCTCAACCCAAACCCAACCGACCCAACCACCCAACCCCCCCCCCCCCCAACGCCCCAAACTTCCAACTCGGGATGCTTGCCCTGATCCTTCAAGCCGAATTTTCTGCACATCAGGGTTCTTCCAAAGATTGGGCTTACATTACAGATCGCCCTAACCTGGCCCTGAACATCGTACGCGGGGAGAGTCCTTACCCTCAGGGAAGATTTGAACCGAATCCGACAGCTTGGGAGGTGGCAAAGGCCGTCCCGCCGGAGGCCGCAAGGGGCAAGGGTCTAAAGTATAGTTTTGTAACTTGTTGACGGGTTGTGCAATTCTATAAGGGTTTTAAATTGGGTGGTACACGGGTTCTATAATTATGTACAAGGTCTTTCGGATTCCAGGGTTTCGTGGGTTTCTGCAGTTGATGCGTCCAGGCAGCCTTGTGAAAGCCTAGGCCCAAGCCTAAGCCGCCTTGTGCCACCTGACTGACGGAGCAGAGGGCACATGAACCGACTGCTAAACCCTAAACCCTAAACCCTAAACCTTAAACCCTAAATCCTAAACGACTTAGATACCCAGAATCAGACAAGGCCCGTTGTCCCCAAGCCCAGCCACCTTCATGATATGCCAGGCTACTACTCATCTGCAGGTGCAACACAAGCTGGAGGCCTGAAGACCGCGGGATTTCGTCATTGAAGCTTGCTGGTGCAAGATTTCTTGGTTTTCGGCTTGATTCTGCAATCTGATGATGAGAGTGTTTGAGCGGAGTGAGCCTCCCATCGACCCAGAGTGAATTTCAACAGAGCATCACGTGCAGCCACATGAAGGAAGATCAGGGTTAGGGTTCACTGCTTGTGGTTTAGGATTTAGGGTTTAGGGTTTAGGATGTAGGGTTTAGGGTTTAGGTTTGAATCATAGCACGAGGTTCCTCGGTAGTACCACTGGGGTTGCGATGTTGTGTCCGTGTCCTGCGCTTTGAGGGTTGTGGGGTTTCGGGTCCAGAGGTTTGCACGAGGTCCAGCGCTCCAAGTACACTAGTATTGGGGTCTTAAGAATTAGACCAGGGTTTGGGGGTATACGATTACCATAAATTTAATTAACAAGCAACCCTCAAAACCCTATTCTAATTATTATAAGGCCCCTACACTACCCTGCGGCCTTTGGGCCCTTGGAGTTCCTTCTTCGTAGCTTCAGTGCTTCAAAAGCCTGCCTTAAATGCCTTCTCCTTGATATTCCCGAGCCCTCCAGTAAACCCCAGACGCTGCAAGTTTGGGGGTCTTAGGAGTCTCCTCCGCCCTGACACACTGTCCTTAAGGTTCCTTAGGATCTTGGAGAGCCCTTGTCACAGCCTTGCCCCTCAGCCCTAAACGGCACTGGCTTCCCTGGACCCTAAACCCTAAACCCTAAACCCTAAAACCCTAAACCCTAAACCCTAAACCCTAAACCCTAAACCCCTAAACCCCTAAACACTGAAGCTCGCGAGCCTCAAGCCGGGGGGTCTTTGAACCCAGGAGGCGGCTCTGGTGGCAGTTACTATGACAGCCACCGGAGCCCGGCATCCTCAGGCAGGGTTCGGGGTTTTAGGGTTTGGGGGGTTTTCGGGTTTCGGGTTTAGGCGATTATGAGGTTTGCGACTAAGGTCCCGAGGAATCTTGTCCTGGATCTCCACCGACTTATCAACATTGGTTCATGTTATTTGTCATATTGCCGTTCATGTTCTGATCATGATTATTGTTCTGTTATCTTACTTATTTTCAATATTTCTATTGGTAGTTATGTTCTTATTCTTACTGGTCTTATCATCAGTGCTTATCGCCCGAAAGCTTGGCCAGCCAATGCTACCACACCCTAAATCCTACACCCCAAACCCTGAACCCTAACCCCCAAGCGCTAACTAACCCCTAAGCCTTAAACCTGGACGCTAAACCCTAACCCCAACCCTAAACCCTAAGTCACAATCAAGCCCTAAACCCTAAGCCCTAAAACCTAAGCCCTAAAACCTAAACCCTACAGCCTAACCTCTAAGGTTTAAAACCTAAACCTAACCCCAACCCTAATCAACCCCTGAACTCTAGCAGCATGATCTTGCGAGGCCGTGCTCCGCCGCCCGAGAAGCCTTCATCAGGCAGTTCTGGGTTTGGGGTTTAGGGGCGGTTTAGGGGGCGCTTAGGGGGTTTAGGGATTTCGGGGGTTTAGGGGGGCTTAGGGGGGTTGTAGGGGTTCGGGTAGAGTTGAGGGTTTTTGCGCTGCGGGTTTCACGATTCGTAGAGTTTTGACTCTCGTACTCCGATGCAGGCCCACCATCTTCATCTGTTCCCAATTCCGCCGGCCGTAGTGCTACTTCGCACAACCCAAAACACTGTTCGAAAAGCATGGCTGCGGAGTAGCATGTAAGGATGCGTTGCTGTAGAGTTTATCGAGTGCGGATGGCGAGCTTTTATCAGCGCGATGGTATGGGGCTCAAGTTATCTCAAGTTCTGTCTATGGCTTTGAGCCACAAGCTGGTTCCAGTCTGTCTTGAACATAACAAGCAGCAGCGACGATTTGGCAGCTTTTTGATGTCCGTACAACGACATACTGCCGACAATGCAAATGCAAAGCCATGAAGATAATCGTGCAATGTTGGGGACCTTCATCATCAGCAACGAACCATCACCATCATCATCATCATCATCGTCATACAGCTAAATAAACAGTAATCACACTAGGACTATGTCACTATGTGCAGGAAGAATAGCCCCTGACCCTGAGGTGTTTCTTTCATTCATTTCCCGAGAGCACTGACCGGCTCGAGGCTTCGTCGCTTCGCCGGGCGTGCGCGGCGGCTTCCATGGAAGCGATGCGCAGCGTGCGCACGTGGAGGCCATGCGCAGGAGCCACAGCTCCGAGTATCGTGTTCGGATGGGAGAACTGAAGATGATGGTAGTGGTAGTGGTTCCAGAGAGAACATCCAATGTTGCAAGTGGTCTCGGTGTGTACTATGCTCAGACTAGCCAGTCACGCAGGAACACATGGCTTTCGCAATAGCAGCGAGGTAAGAACAGTATCCTTGCTGCTTTCAGGCTGTTTGTGGGAGTGTCGCAGCGGAGTCAAGCGACCGGCCAGATATGGCGACTCTTCAGCTTTCAGGAATGTGACTATGACTATACAGCAATACCTGCTAGAACGTACTTTCCACGTCGCACGGTGCTTGGTTGCCTCGGTGCACTGTGGTGGAAAATGACCCATCCCCTCTGAAAAGTGGATTCGCCTTTGACCAAGCTTTCGAACATCAGTGTTGCATCCTCGAGCTCATTGCGAGCCCAGGGCCCTCGAAAACTGCAACCTTAATATCGGAGTCTGAAGACAAGACTTCTTAGTAGTCTTCCTCACATAGCTACCCGTTGGGGTTACCTATATGGGAGTTTCCGAAAATTAGGGGTACCTGGTTTTGGGGTCCTTATAATAAGGATCCGACTATTTAAGGTACTTCAGTAGGGTCCCCTATGTCGGAAACTCCCCATACTATTCTCAAACCCTACTTTTTGTAGGCTCTTATTACAAACCCTACTATGGAATTTATGGGGACTCTGCCCTACAAAAAGTAGGTTTTGGTAGGTTAAGGTCCAAGAGTATCAACCAGTCATGAGGTCGCTCTACAGCGGATGCGGCTCCAGTCGCCATGCCGGCACAGGCAAGGCAGAGACTGCTTTCTGATACACTAATACAGGGGCCTCAATAATTACCAATACTATGTTGGGGTTTCTTTATTATAAGTATAGTATAATGGGCCCTAAAAACCTATTCTAATTGTGAAGGCCAATCCTAGGTAGAATTAGTGAGACCGATTCAAGGGGACCCTTCTTGACCCTACTTCTGGCTTTCAACAGGGACCTGGGTGCGAGGGTCTATATCCCCAAGGGTCCCCCGTAATCCTAACTCCGATACAATAGCCGGCCTAAGGGTTTATTTAGGGTTTAGGGCGTATAAGTCACAGTAATGTTTCTCAAGGTTCCCGCTTATAGTTATACGTTCCATGGTCTATCCCCAAACCCTACTTAAATGACTAAGGCTTGTATGTTTCGATTGGGGATTCAATGGAGCTAGATGGTTGTGGGTTGTAAGTGAGCCCGCCGACACATCTGCTATGGCAGCTTTTCTCTGACTCTACTTGTTCAGAATTTTCCGATCCTTCAAGGAGGAGTTCAGATTTTCGGCTTTCGGTTGTAGGGCTCGGCTTTTACCCGACAGCCCAGCCAGAGCACAGGATGTGGCTGTCCGTTCGCATTTGGGGCCGCGGCCCTGGACAAATTCCAGTCGAGGAATGTCATCAGGGTTTCGGGTTCAGGTTACAGGGATCTGACTTCGCATGGCCTGTAACGGGTTAAACCGCATAAATTAAATATCTGGTTACTCAATACGATAACCATTATTACTGGCACGTAGTATTGTTATTAGCATGATTGTTCTTATCATTATTATTTAAGAATTTGTAGTATCAATTAGTAGTCTTACTAGCGTATCCGTTACTCTTACTGCTGTTACTCTTAGTCTTATATGGGTGGTTGTCAAAATTAGGGTCCCTTTTGGGGTCCCTACCATAATAAGGCACCTAGTATTTAGGGTTCCCAAAAAGGGGCCCTAATTTTGACAACCACCCAATCTATGGGGTTCCCTAAAGGGATCTCGAGGGTTTCTATAAAGGGATCTGTAGGGGTTCCTTAGAGGGGGAGAGCTTCTGCCTTGATCTGTGCACGCGCTGAAGGCTGAACGCCTTGAAGGAGCGAAAGCAGAAAGAAGAGGAGGACCGGTGGGTACTTGGAGGGCCAGGGGACTTATACAGTAAGTGGTTTATAAGTAGGGTTATAATTGGGGCAACTCCATATAGGGTCTCTTAGAGGGATCTATGGGGTTCAGGGTTTAGGGTCTACTTAGAGGATCATGGGACTTAATAACTATAGGGTTATACTTGAGATAACTCTAATTATAACTGCTTATACTCCTAATTAAGGTACCTGTCACCTTACTTACTAAGTCCCATGATCCTCCAAGTATGATATCGTGCAACAAGAATTTCGTGTAATATGTAGAATACCGATGGGTTTGGGAGTGGTTTGGGATTTAGGGTTTAGGGTATGGGTATAATATAAGGCTCGGAATAGTACCGATATTACTCCTTCGGGCTCCTTAGTAGCCTTAGTACAAATATACTGTAAGAGCAATATGTTGTAATGTACCCCCAACCTCCTATTCTGACTATCCGGGCCGCTATACGAATCGTACTCTTTACTCTTTATGTCAGAGCCTTCGGCGCAAACCTGTCCTTGACGAAAGAGTTGCGCAGCTGTGACATTCAGGCTCTGTGGGCTCGGGATGGTTTACCGCTCGGGGCTTCTCATGTGCGCATAGGAGCCGGCGGATAACCCTTACCCAACTCATCCCCGCCAGGAGAAACAAGCCAAGCGTGAGGCCAGGGGGAGGAGAGAGAGAGAGAGAGAGAGAGAGCGCACACGTCACCGGGCATGAGCTCACCGGCAATCTTCCGCCGAAATAGAACACATTTTCGTCAGCATCATCATTGCATCATCTTCATTGCCATCCTCGCCATATTTACTGCGCAGAACTACAACAGGATGTTAATCAACGTCACCTTCATTGTTGTCATATTTGTATTCTTCGACATCCACATCATGTCAAGACCATCATCAGCAGCAACAGCCTGAACATCTCAACAAGACTGATCACGGCGAAAGCTTCTTCCAGCGATCCTGCATTACATACCTTGGCATGCATGTTTCACCCTAGGATCATGTCGCACTGCCGTATGTTAGGAGGGCTTCAGCCTGGATCAAAATGGATTTTGGATCTCCCTTCTCATCCTTTCGTCGCCAGCGAGTGGAAACTAGAGTTTCTACAACCCTGACAGTCTTCTTAGTCTTAATATGACATTACATCTACTGCAGCATAATACGGTAGCGCATAGTGTACAATGCTGTTTCGGGTAGTGTCATTGGGGGCGCCACTTAGCTATGTCAGTTCTTATCGCTAATGCATTTAGGGGTTCTCAGCTCTTGCCCCAGCTAGCGACCGGCATCCATATGGGTGATTGTCAAAATTAGGATCCCTTTTTGGGGTACCCTAAATAATAGGTGCCGTACTTTAATAGGGACCCCCAAAGGGACCATTATTTGACCACCACCCATATGCCATACACCCTAAACCCTCAAACCGACTTAAGCCCTAAAGCCCTTAAACCCTGAAACCATACAACCCTTATAAACCTAAAGCATTCCATCCTTCAACCCTCAAACCTTAACCCTTAAAACAGCTAAACCTTCCTTACACCCTTAAACCCTAGAGTTCCTCAGCCCACTTAAAGGATCATGGGACTTAGCAACTAGGGTTATAATTAGGGTATCTCTACTTGTAGCTACCTATAACCGAAATTAAGATACTTATAATCCTACTTACTAAGTCCCAGCTAAACCCCATAGTTCCCTTTAAGGAACCCCTATAGATCCCTTTTAAGAGCCCTTTTAAGGACCCCATACTTACTAAGTCCCATGATCCTCCAAGTAGACCCTAAACCCCTAGATCCCTTTAAGGACCCCCTATAGATCCCTTTAAGGATCCCTTTTAAGGAACCTTACTAAGTCCCATGGTCCTTTAACCCAGAGACTCCAATATCCCTTAATTAAGGAATATACCTTAAATTAGAGTAGGATCCTTATTATCATTTAAGGAATATTCCTTAATTAAGGGATATTGGAGTCTCCTTTAAGCACCCGGACAGGCTGCACGCGCCAAGCGCCGGTCCGATGCTACGCAGCCCAGAGCTGAGCGAGTTGCGTCTCGGGTGGTTTTGGGACTTGGGGTTTAGGGTTTAAGGTTTAGGGTTTAGGGTTTAAGGTTTAGGTCTACCTTGACCCCGAATAACCCACCTTCTTAAGGAAGTATATAAAGAAACCGTATCAGGGAACAATAAAAGGTAGGTTCCTTAGGGTTCAGGTCTAGGGTGTAGGTTTTAGGGCTTAAGGGTCTAGGGTCTAGGGTTTCGAGTTTTGGGTTTAGGTTTCGGGTTTCGAGGAAGATGGGCATTTGAGTTGCTGGCAATGTGGGAGCTTCGGGAGCGCAAACGGGAGTTCTGAAACCCAACTCCCGCAAGCACAGAGACGAAATACACAGAACTCTCGGCAAAGGTTTAGGGTTTAGGGTTCGGAGTTTGGGGTTTTAGGTCAGGGTGTAGGTCCAGGATGCAGAAGCCGACGTTCTGAACTTGAAACCAAAGACGCGGCATGGCCAGGAAGGAGGTCGCTGACGAACAAGCCTTGGCCGAGTGCCGGGATCCCTGCTGGGGTTCTAGGTCAGCGTCGAGGGTGTTCTCGGTTCAGGGTTTCAGGGGTTCTACGTAATGATACTGAGTTTTTATGGTCTTCTTTGCTGCCGGGGGATATACAAGCATTACAAAGACCGCGAACATTTGCAAGAAGGTTACATACATGCATACATACCTACATCATGCATACATACATATATATACATACATACGTCCATGCATGCATGCATGCATACCAACATGTCATACCTACTTATTTACACACTTGCATACTACGCAGCCTGCTTCTTCGGGACATGTTTCAGTGCAACTAGATGTAGCGTCACATTTGGACAGACTTTGACGACAAGGAACAGGAAGATACATACAGACACACACACACAGATAAATAAGCCAAAATACATAATTACACATGCACGTACATAACACACATGGATGATATCTACATACCCATACACTTACTTATATTGTTTACATGCATGCATATGTACGGACTTCTCGCGACACTTACATGAAAGTTTCCTGTAGCGTTATCCCATTTATGTTCGCATGCTTGATATTCCTCGCTTTGCTGCATTCTGAGATGGGCTCCACATTAGTATGTTTATTCTCTAGCACACTTCATAGATTGCTGACGATCGTTTCTCTTTGCATCTTGGCTGTTCAGCCGGCAGCGAACCAACGCAAAACTCAATTTGATAACCAGCGATGCTGATCCCTCAGCCGGTAGATCGTCGGCTTGGGCGATTAGCAAGACCTGGCAATGGTGGACAGGCGAAGCACAAGCATGGCAAGACAGCGAAAACGTTGCAAGAGTGAAGTCGCGGCCTCAGCTCGCCTGGATAGCAAACAGCATCCAGCAGGTTGTCCCTCATCTTGAGCCTACATCTTAGTCGACAAGCTACCTGCCTCTGGTCCTTGCAGGTTTCATGGCTGAGGGACAAGCGCGTTCAGGATAGTCTTGTCGGATACTGGGGTCGTCTTCATCCCTGAAGCCAAAACCCACATCCCGAAGATTCCGAAAGGGAGCAGGCAGCCGACCTTGCTCAGCAGCATCTCCCCGCGAGGTTCCGTCCTTGTTTTGGCTGGCTGGGCAAGTCATGGGCTTCGAGTGGCAGTGTAGGCTTATCCGGAATCTCCATGTGACACATCCCAAGGTACGAAGCGGCACTGGTGGTCCGAATAGCGTTGAAGTTTGGGAGCACCGGCGCCCCTCCCCGAGTTCGAAGGTGGAACGGTCTTGCATAGTAAGGGGGGAGGGAGGGAGTGTGCAGGAAGCGACAAAACAACTGATAAGAATGAAGATCCAGTTCATCAGGTTGCATGCCGGGGCCCGGTGCTTGAGGGATCCGAAGAAGACTATCCATGGCTTTCAGAGGACTTAGCGACAAGATGAACGTAAACTTGTACAGTATACTTAACTGGACAGGCATAAGAATCCCTTTCCGAGTCTCCTGGCTCCTGGGATCCTCCGATGTAATGCGTAGGATTCAGGGGCACATTGAAGTCTTGCCTAAGAAGTAAACCATAAGCTCCCCAAGCCTTAAACCCTACCCTAAACCCTAATCCCCAAACCCTAAACCCTGGACCATAAACCCTAAACCCTGAACCGGAGGTTTGTGGCCAAGTGCTTCGCGAGTGAATGCTGCTGAACCCATGAGCAGGATCTTCGGGCTGTTCCTGGATTAGTATAGGGGCCTTAAAAATTCGAACAGGGTTCCTTTAGAGGGTCCTTGAAAAGGGTCCTATTAGGGTTACTGTAAGGGGTATTCTGGGGGTGTGATATAGGGATCTTAATAATTCCCTATACTATTGTGGCGGTTCCTGGGTGTGATGACAGTATAATATGTCCCAAAACCCGTTTGTAATTATTAAGGCCCCTATATTACCTCTCCCACATAGGGTTTTTCCAAGTTTCAGGAACCCTGATACACCTCCACATGCAGAAGATCAAAGCCAGTGATTGCTGGGAGGGCCACAAACCCACCCCAAACCACGGACCCTTGCTTGCTCGAAGCCATATGTTGCAAACTATCAAAAGCAAGTTTACCGGGCCGAAGCGTCAGTTGCCATGTCGCTCCTGGCCGAGGCAGGGTTGTTGGGTGCAGCATGATGTGGGAGTTTCCGAAAATTAGGGGTACCTTATTTTGGGGTCCTTATAATAAGGATCTTATTATTAAGGGTACTATATTAGGGTTCCCTATTTACGGAAACTCCCATGTGTTTACATGGTGCAATTAAAAGCACTTCGTTACGGCTACCCATGGCGCATTCACCATCATCCCGCCGACTACAGCGCAAGCATGTCATGTGATTACAACTTGTTTGTTTTGCGCATCAAGACGTGGTCAGAGTTAAAGAGCTTAAGAGCAATCGTTGCCCAAAGGCAAGGGAAAGACAGTCCTTTCCGGGTATGGCCGTCTTAGACAAGGTAAACTCACTGTGATGATGCTTCAATACTGGCTGGCTGTAGTCAGCTTCAATATGTTTGTCAGGTTTTGTCAGTCATTAAGGTCGTAATAAGTGCTGTCAGCTCCTCCAGAGTCGGGTCCTTCGCATAGGTTTTCGAGCAGCGAAACAGTTGCCTGACATCGAAACTGGATTGAGTGCACCAGATCCTGTGATGGCAAGGCGTTCGCCCTGGGGGCGACACAGCCTTCGCTGCCTGTGCTGAGGCTGGCTCCACTTATACGAGTGGTAGATTCGAAAATGAGGATCGTATTTTCGGGGCTTTCGGTTTCCTTGTTTCGATGCTTGCTACAGAGTCTCCACGCGGAGCCGGGACAGAACCGATTCCAACATCGTCCGGTTGAGCTCAGGCTCATCCAATTGCTAAAAGCGGCTTGGGGTATGGATGGTTTAGGGTTTGTGGACTTTACACTGAGCCCTAAACACCGATCAGGACCAGCCTGTTCCTACCTTTTTGTGCACTATTGTCGGTTCTCTGATTTGCATGGCCTGGGAAAACTTCAAACCGTCAAATTGCAAGGCTCCGAGATTAGGGTTTTAGTGCTCCCCAGCCTTCTGACATCAAAGAAGCGAACAAGGGGCTTATGTTCGCAGTTGCCACTCACCACCACCATGGTAGCTGCTGTTTTCATTTCGAATGTAATCAACAGTGTTTTTTGCGACACATGTTTCAATACCATAGCTATATGACTCGGATAGTGCTGGTAAGCTTGGCGACGGTCACGAGGGGAGCAATCTCCAATACAAGAGGCTCAGCAAGTATTAAGCGTTGCACGGCCCAGATTCTATGATTGACCAGTATTCTCCCCGCTACAGTGCAGCCAAGTATCGTCAGGTACATCATCACCGGTCAGAGTCATCGTCATTGCCGCCGTCATCATCATCATCATCGCCCTCGTCATCATCATCATCATCAACATCACCATCATCATCATAATCGAACCATCAGAGCATCATCATCATCATCATCATCCTGGAATCATCTTCCTCCTCCTCATCATCATCACTACCTCCATTGTCATAAGCATCATCAGCACCACAACCAGCATCATCATCATCAGCACCATCATCACCATCATCACCATCATCACCATCATCACCATCAAGATCATCATCATCATCGTGGTCATCAGCACCAGCCCCACGATCTTTGGCCCTGAAGCTTAGGGGCAAATAGTCAAGGGCAAAATCGCAACAATCCGGGCGTCATCGTCTTGCGGGAGGCAGACCTAGGGCATCCCAAGGAATATTTGTACGCAGTGAATGGAGCACTGACAAGATTAGCGTATGAACCTAGTCAGACGAGGGTTGCTGAAAGTAACGCTCATGCTAAGCAGGGAAAGACGTAATTGCAGCCAACTCAGGGCATGTAGAAGTGTCTACTTTCAGGTATAACCTTCAGTACCCACACCCTGAACTCTCCTCAGATCTCCTGAGTAGTATCGCTCCTTCGTTGTATAATACACTGTAATCCAAGATGGTCTACTGTTACTATTAGATCATTACTATATATGCTATTCTGCATAAAGCCATAAAACCCGTCGATCTTCCCAGTGAAAGCCCTAGGCGTAGCCCCTTAAATTTCGAGTCTGGACCCCAAACCCAGGCCATCAAAGCCCTGCCGGGCTGCCCATGAAGCTTTCGAGAGCTACCTGGCATGGACGGTTATATAAATGCATGTCACGTACAGATAGATAGACAGATTGATAGGTAGATAGATACACACACATATATATCTATATCTATATCTATATATATATATATATATATCTATAATATGTATGTATGTATGTATGTATGTATGTATGTGTATGTATGTATGTATGTATGTATGTATGTATGTATGTATGTATGTGTGTAAGAACTTATGTATTTTGTGCGTATTTGTGTATGTGCATCTGTCTGTGACTAGGTATGTATTTATGTCTGTGCGTTTGCCTGTATGTTGGTATGTCTGTAGGTAGGTCTATTTGTCTGTCCGCCCGTCTGTTTGTCGGTATGTATGCACGTATGCATGTCTGGCTGTCTGTATGTATGTAGCTGTGTCCGTCAATCGATCCGTCCGTCCGTCCGTCGGTTTGTTTGTCAGTGTTCCTGTACGTGCACATGAGCGTGTGCATGCATGTATGTATGTATGTATGTTTGTACGTATGTATGCCTGTATGTATGTCTACACAGCTACACATACATAAATACCTGCACCTTTGAAGAATCGGGCGGCGCCAAATCACAATTCACATAAGTGCACATAAGGGTCCCTTCCATCACGGTCAACTCCTGCGGTTGATATAAGTTTTGCCTGACCTTCAGGACCCTATACTATGGGAGTTATGGTGTATTCCTTATTGCGTGTACTGCAGGGTTTATATCATCAACCGTATCAACATGCCTGCCCGGTCAAGCTTCAGCCGTTGGTCAGGCCATCGGCAGCCTGCCGTCAGAGTCAAAACCACCCAAGTAGTGCTGTAGTGGCCTTAATAGTTTGATCAGGTTCCTTAAAGGGTTCTTATAAAGGGATCTATAGTTAGGGTTCCTACAAGGGCTTTATATAGGAGCCATAGGTAATTATTAAGGCCCCTTTTTTAAATAATGTGCGTGCCAGGACCAAGCTACATCATCAGTGTCAGGAGCATGTGATAGAGTAGATGCCCCACGCTATATTCTTATTTCTTTCATGGCGACGTTCTGAACGGAAGCAGCCGGATTGCTTCGTTCCTAGCTCCAGGCACACCGTCGGCGTTTGCGGCTGCCGCCACGGTCTTGGTGGCCGGTGTTTTCATGAGGAGGCAGCAGGATATTAGGGCCTCAATAATTACCTATACTATTCTTGAGGGTTCGCTAATATACTACAGCCCTATTCTAATTATTAAGACCCTATATTTTAGTCTCGATTGTATTTAACCATTAAATTGATATGTAGGATCCTATAAGGCAGCCCCCAAAGAGGGACTCTATAGGTGCGATCTTTTTCGCCAGCCTAACCCAACACCGAGACCGAGATCTTGAACGCTGGTTGTCTAGGGCAGGGGCGGATTTCATTAGCATCATCCAGATGCGTTTTAGTCCTCATACCAAAGCCTTTACCTATCTGTACGTTCGGCAGTCCAAGCCCTAAACCCTAAAGCCCTCAACCGTGAAACCCTCAACCCTATAAAGCCTAAAACCCTAAACCTTAAGCCCTAAACCCTGAACCCGAAAGCCCTAAAACCCCAAAGCCCGAAGCCCAAACCTAGATATATAAACCCTGACCTCCGCTCTTGTCAACAGCGCCTCGGACAGGCGGACGTCCTTCAGGACGGAAGCAGCCAGCCAAGCCTGTGTCTCAGTCTCTTCAGTTTCTCAGATACATACTCCGGGGTCCTTAATGATTACCTATACTAGTTTCGGCGTTCCTGATTATAAGTTTAGTATAATGGGCACCAAACCCGATTGTAATTATGAAGGCCCCATATAGTACCTGGTTTCTGGCTTAGGGTTTTGGTTTTCGATGTTTCAGGTTTGAGGGTTGAGGGCTCAAGCCCTAAATAGGGTTTAGGGTTTAGCGTTCTAGCGCTGATAATGTGTGGCGGAGACTGCATTGATTGCATCGAGATTCGCATTATTGCGGCTAGGGCTATGGCTTGAACCATGATGAGTGGTAGTTTGGGTGTAATCACAAGAGACTCCGGTACATCCATATTTATGTGATCATCGTCATGTTCGTATTCGGCTGTTTCCTTCGCAGTACTTATTACTGGCAC